TCGCCCCATTCATCACCACCACCCCCGCACTCACCACCACCCCGCACTCACCACCACCCCGCACTCACCACCACCCCCGCACTCACCACCACCCCCGCATTCCCCACCACCCCCGCATCCACCACCACCCCCGCATTCCTCACTACCAAATCAACACACACACCAGCAACAAACCACCACACACCTACCATATACACAAAAATCGGCTGCACAATCTGCGTGCCAGTCGTATAACATCCAGCGATCAACGCGATGATCACAATACAGATCGCTATGATCGATATGATCGCCGCAAACAGTATCAGAGCTATAGTGCATCGATTCTCCGCTGAGACCGCACGAAATTTCGACAGTTTCGCATGCGACCACTCCTTGAGCCTGGCGTAACGCTCTTCTGATTCAGGAGCACATTCCTCCGCGGGCACGTCTGTATTTTAATTGCAGCTTTATATCAGTTACAGCTCGCTAGCATTTAATATTATCATTAGTTTATATTATTTATTATTATTTATTGATACATATTATTATTTATTAATGCATATTATTATTATTTATTAATGTATATTATTATTTATTAATGCATATTATTATTATTTATTAATGCATATTATTATTTATTAATGTATATTATTATTAATTAATGTACATTACTAGTTATTAATATACATTATTCATTAATATATTATTAGTTATTAATAAATATTATTAATTACTGATACTGTTATGATACATTATACTAATTTATATTATTTATTTTTATTATTTATTATATTATTATTATATTATACATTAATATATAATTATAAATATCTTATTAATGTTATTATTATATTAAATATTAATATAGAATAAAAAAAGAAAAACGAAACAACATACCAATATGCGACGAATGCTCTATTGGATATACTTTTGAGGTGTTAGACATATTCGATTACTTGATTATATTATATTTATTATATTTATTGATATTATTTATTGTTATAATAATAAATAATATTATTATGTGTGATCGGTTCTCATTTCAATGCGCTAATGAATAACACCCTCAAAATATCCTATAAATTAATATCAATTTATATAATAATAATTAATAATAACAATGAATAATATTAAACAATAATGAATAATAACAATAATTAACAAAAACAATAAATAATAATAAACAATAATAATAATTAATAACGATAAATATTAATAAACAATAATTACAAATCATAATAAACAATAATTATAACTAATAATAACAATAATAATAAACAATAATAATAAATAATAATAACAATAATAAGTAATAACAATAATAATAAATAATAACAATAAATAATAATATACAATAAATAATAATAACAATAATAATAAATAATAATAACAATAAATAATAAATAATAAATAATAATAAACGATAAATATCACGAAATAATACACAACTAAACTCAACACGATCAATGCATCACAAAACTAGTTTTCCTTCTATTACACTCCACGTTCGATACCAAATCAAACCACAGTTCAGTTTGCCTCTCTTCCGGTGCTTTTTATATTTATTACAATTATAATATATAATTATAATAAATAATAATTACAATAATAAATAATAATTACAATAATAATAAATAATAAGGATAAACAATAACTAAAATAATTATTATTATTATTATATCAATAAATCATACCTCTTATAATAACAATAATAAATGAAAAAAAATTAATAAAATACTAATAACAAACAATAATAATTATAAAAATAACACTAATGATAATAACAATAAATAATAATAATAATAATAAATAATAATAAATAATAACAATAATAATAATAAATAATAATAACAATAATAATAATAATAATAATAATAAATAATAACAAAACTACCCAGAACACACCACCCCACTACCCACCATATGGTCATTCAGCAATAAAACAAGCCACACCATTTGCAGCATATCTATATGTTCACACACACAAAAACATATTATATACATTATTAATGTATATATTATTATTATATATACATTATTAATGTATAAAATAGTAACTGTAAATAAAATGAACGTCGTCATTTGCACACAAAACAATCACCAAATAAAAACATAATTCTATCAGATAAATATACTCTCCGTTTTATATATCCATTCAATCGCTCAAAATTTCATCGACAAATTCCATTTTTTCGGTTCTTCGATTCATTTCGATTCGTATCGAATTTAAAATCAATCATTATTATTATATATTATTTATTATATATTATCATTATATATTATTTATTATTATATATTATTTATTATTATTATATATTATTATATATTATTAATTATTATTATATATTATTTATTACTACCTACTATTATTACTATTAGTTCTGTTCTGTAACAATGAGCTGATCACACACACACACACACACACACACATTTTTCTGCTTTTGTACTTTTCTTTTCTACCATATTTTTATTATGAATTAATATTAAATATAATAAAT